TACTCCAATAATTCTCCTAAAAGGAAACAGTTTTTTATAAAAAACTCTCTTAAACCTTGAAATATTAAAGTCTGGGTAAACCATAATATTAGATGTATCTAAATTTTAAATAATATTCTTTTACTGCAAAGTGGTGTTAAAAAAAGGATATCTTGTATTTTTAACCGAAATTTCTTTCAATCTATAATCTGAACAATACTTGTTTTTGATATTCCATAGACGGATAGGGTTATCTCTACTACCAAAAGCTAATGTATTTCCATCAGGAGATCAGGAGGAATAAAAATTCAAAGGACTACTTTCAACATCACACATTTGATTTTTTACATTTTTTTTAACAATTTTAACAAAAAATCCTCTAAACCCCCAATTATAACAACTTTTTTGCATTTGTTTTCCAATTTTTTGCTCATACTCTTATTTTTACTATTTTTCAATATGTGCAATAACAATTAAAAATTGCTAAAATTGCAAGTTTATACATACTTGCCTCAACACCAACCCTATTGAAGACTTGAGGTATCTTTTTCTTCTACATTACATTGAACATTGATTGGTACATAAAACCAAAAAAAACCAGGTATTTAAGAGGATGATCTCAAATAACTTTAATATTCATTAAAATAAAGATGATAATATTATTTATTTTCGATTACAATTATAGATTTGTAATTTAAAAGGACTATGATAGATTAATAAATAAGTGAATTAACACAAAAAATAAATACACATAATGTAATTGAAAATAAATTATAAAACCTTCATTAATTTTTATATTTATTTGATTCACATTTACGTCATATTATAAAATTTAGGTCATTAAATATCTAATTAGATTAATATATATTAAATATGGAGAAAATCTTTTTAACAGTCGGTTTAATGATGTTATTGGGAGCCAGCCTCTACTTGAACAACACATAAGAAGTATTAGATGAAATAGATACAGGCAATCTTTATACAAATTGGAAGATGAAATATAACAAGAGATATACAAACCAAAGAGATGAGATGTACAGATACAAGGTTTTCACTGGCAACCTTAACTAAATCAGAGCTTTCTATGAAAGTCGAAAAGAAACTACATACACTTTGGAATTGAATCAATTTGCTGATATGAGCTAATAAGAATTTGCTTAGACCTATTTAAGTCTTAGAGTTCGAAAGACAGCCAAAATCAATGCTGCCAATGATAACTTCTAGTACAAGGGTGCAGAAGTCGATTGGACCAATGATAAAAAGATTAAATACCCTGCTGTCAAGAACTAAGGATCATGTGGTTCATCATGGGCATTCTCTGCAGTTGCTACACTTGAAATCAACTCTGATATTGAACTCAACAAGAGATATGTCTTGTCTGAATAAGATTTAGTTGACTGCACAAGACCATATGGCAATTAAGGATGCAAAGGCGGTTAGGTGGATTAAGCTTATCACTATGTTCTTGACTATGGTTTGACTGAAGCTAAAGATTATCCATACACTGGTAAGGATGAAGAATGCCAGTCCTCAGCTAATAGACCATTCTAACATCTTGCAGGATACTATCTTTATGAAACATGCAGTTAATTAGCTGATGCAATCTAAAAAAGAACAGTCGCTGTTGCAGTTGATGCCAATTCTTGGTAGTTCTATGGTAATTATTTAAATATATTTTTTTTAGGAAGTGGTGTCCTTTCAGAATGTACTAAAGACTTAAATCACGCAGCCGTCCTTGTTGGTGTCTCAGCTGATGGTGTTTGGAAGATCAGAAACTCATGGGGAGCTACTTGGGGAGAAGCTGGCCACATCAGACTTGCTGGAGGTGATACTTGTGGAATATGCGCTGATCCATCTTCCCCAGTATTATAATGAAGATCATTCATACATCAATTTATCAACAATATTAGTTATTTTATAAACTATTTACTTAATTGAATAATTAAACAAAAATATTAATCAGTTTTTTAATATTAATTAATGGGTTGCGGATCTGCTAAACTAGTGAATGCTAAGAAACATAATAAATAAATTCATCCAAAAATCATTCAAGAAACTAGTTCAATTTCAGAATGTTAAACTGAAACTATCAAGTTATACAGATGAGGTTATTGTACTACAATAAACAAATAGCAAACTATCTCATCAAGAATGAGAAGTATGTCTAGGCTACGCAGATTTTGCTGATGCTATTTCCAGTAAGGGTATTTTAATTATATTCCAAGATTATGTATTAGCAAGATTAAAAGAAAGAATCAAATATATTTTGATATGGCAATAAATTAAGACCCAAATCAGAAACATTATTATGTTAATAAAACAACTACTTTATCTGATGTAAAATTATATGATAATGCTTTGAAAGAAATATAATTTGCTCTCAAAATTGATTCTCAATATCATGATGTAAATTAAGCATTTAATATTAATCATTTACATTAATAAGGAGATATATATATAAATATTTGCTAATCAAAACAATATGAAAAGGTGGAAAAAGCCTGTGATTAAGTTCTTATATTAGATAGTTAAAACTAATATGTATTAAATTGCTAATAAGAAATCCCAAAGAAAATATCTAAATAATAACCACAGGTCTCATAGGTGTAAATTTCAGTATAGTATTAACTAAAAGAAGGTTTAATCAAATCCTAAGATTATAGTGCGGAAGTTGCAAGTAGAATAACAGAAAACTTAAGCTTTGAGTCTCATAAATTTAGTTTTGGAAAAAGACCCTAAATTTATGAGCATTAAAATGAAAAGCTTAAATATATATTGAATAAAAATAATAAGCAAGTTGTAAAGTAACACTGGATTAAATTCTTACCATTTAATAGAATGATTTAGATACATTAAAATAAAGCTTGATAGAATTTAAGAAGCAAGGAAGAATCTTTAATTTGTTAGTATAAATGTATAAAAATACAAAATGAGAAAAAAAACACTTGAAATATTTGATAAAATTTTGAACATTGTAACAACCAATAATACTGATATGTTAAAAAAATTTTTAATAGATTGAATAATTCTGGACAGATGAGTTAGAAACTATTTCATATTATCTTTATAGAAGAAACGAAAGCATCTATATCGATTTATTCTGTAGTATTAATAATAAGTATGCAGAAAGAATTTGAATTTTACAAAGAAATTAAAAAAATATAATAAAGATTAATCAAAGTCTCTTCTGATTTTTAATGATAAAATTTGCTTTTTGTTAAATGAAAATTAATTCTTTATTGATGATATTACATGGATTAAAAAAAAAGTATAACATTTGAAAAACTGNTTAGTTATTTTATAAACTATTTACTTAATTGAATAATTAAACAAAAATATTAATCAGTTTTTTAATATTAATTAATGGGTTGCGGATCTGCTAAACTAGTGAATGCTAAGAAACATAATAAATAAATTCATCCAAAAATCATTCAAGAAACTAGTTCAATTTCAGAATGTTAAACTGAAACTATCAAGTTATACAGATGAGGTTATTGTACTACAATAAACAAATAGCAAACTATCTCATCAAGAATGAGAAGTATGTCTAGGCTACGCAGATTTTGCTGATGCTATTTCCAGTAAGGGTATTTTAATTATATTCCAAGATTATGTATTAGCAAGATTAAAAGAAAGAATCAAATATATTTTGATATGGCAATAAATTAAGACCCAAATCAGAAACATTATTATGTTAATAAAACAACTACTTTATCTGATGTAAAATTATATGATAATGCTTTGAAAGAAATATAATTTGCTCTCAAAATTGATTCTCAATATCATGATGTAAATTAAGCATTTAATATTAATCATTTACATTAATAAGGAGATATATATATAAATATTTGCTAATCAAAACAATATGAAAAGGTGGAAAAAGCCTGTGATTAAGTTCTTATATTAGATAGTTAAAACTAATATGTATTAAATTGCTAATAAGAAATCCCAAAGAAAATATCTAAATAATAACCACAGGTCTCATAGGTGTAAATTTCAGTATAGTATTAACTAAAAGAAGGTTTAATCAAATCCTAAGATTATAGTGCGGAAGTTGCAAGTAGAATAACAGAAAACTTAAGCTTTGAGTCTCATAAATTTAGTTTTGGAAAAAGACCCTAAATTTATGAGCATTAAAATGAAAAGCTTAAATATATATTGAATAAAAATAATAAGCAAGTTGTAAAGTAACACTGGATTAAATTCTTACCATTTAATAGAATGATTTAGATACATTAAAATAAAGCTTGATAGAATTTAAGAAGCAAGGAAGAATCTTTAATTTGTTAGTATAAATGTATAAAAATACAAAATGAGAAAAAAAACACTTGAAATATTTGATAAAATTTTGAACATTGTAACAACCAATAATACTGATATGTTAAAAAAATTTTTAATAGATTGAATAATTCTGGACAGATGAGTTAGAAACTATTTCATATTATCTTTATAGAAGAAACGAAAGCATCTATATCGATTTATTCTGTAGTATTAATAATAAGTATGCAGAAAGAATTTGAATTTTACAAAGAAATTAAAAAAATATAATAAAGATTAATCAAAGTCTCTTCTGATTTTTAATGATAAAATTTGCTTTTTGTTAAATGAAAATTAATTCTTTATTGATGATATTACATGGATTAAAAAAAAAGTATAACATTTGAAAAACTGTATATATATTGGTATAAGACGATTTGTTTGTTTGTTATTCTAAGAATATTCAGTTATGATTAGAAGATCTTAGCTATTTAATATAATTTCATAATTATTAGAAGAAAAAAAATATATATAAGCTTGTTTACTAATCAAAAATAATCTACTAGAGCACAGAAAATATTTCTAGTAGTTAATCTTTATTGTTCATTTAAACCAGTTCTTATAACATTTTCACATTATAAATTTAATTTTGGAGTTTTTATTAGTATAAATAATTGCTTTGAAATAATCTAATAAGTATTAATATATTGAGTAGCTTCATTCAAGCATCATCGTCACCGAATATTTTAATGTTTTGAAAACCATAATCAAATAAAGTTTGGATAAGTAAAAGCTCAAGAAAGAAATCCAATGTATACAATAAGATAATTGTAAATTATCACATGGCCAAAGTGAAACTATTTATTTTATTTTTTGTCTACACCTAATATTTCTGCTTTCTTATCAGTCTTGATTAATTTATTTTTTCTTTCCTTAATAAATGTTAGAGTACATAATTTAATTTAACTTAGTAAAACACTTAAGAATTTTTATATCAATGCCTTCATCAAGAAACCATTTTTGAAATTATTTTTTAATTTTTTTAATATCAATCAAAATAAATTCCTGTATTAAGGGTTCAGTAAATCTATCCCTACCCAATCTTAAATATTTAAATTTTATCACAGTAATACAAAAAGTGCTATTAATAGTTGGAACTATAATATACAATATGCTGCTGTTAAAATTCATATGATTATGACTTGGATTTTTTTTTGACAAGAATGCATTTCGATAAAAAAATATGGCTTTATCTAACTTATTTTCAGAAACTCATTTCTCTATTGAATCTGAGAAGCTTTTTGACAAGCTTGATTAGAAATCTACAAATCAGCTAACATGTTCTGAATTTTTCAATATTACTATAATGATGGGTCTTTTATTATCCCTCCTAATGAAGTAATCTTCTCAAATCTTCAAAGAAATGTCTTTACTTTTTAATACAGTTCCTACTGTACAGAGTTTGTGAGAATGGAATTAGGACATATTCTAACTTATTAGGCAAAGATGTTATAATATATAGTTTAGATTATATAAATAGAATTATTCTTCTAAGCCACAAGTTAATTAAATAATAATATTTTAACAGTAAATTATATATACTTTATATAAATTCAGTTGATTGGCCCCAACAGTATAATTTTATAATATCTATATTTTCTGCTAAAATCTTAAGTGCAAAAGCTATATTTAGAAATTGGTTTGAATGGAGATATAAAAAAGAAGACCTTCATTCAAGGCTTCCTTTATCTCTAAGTTTTCACTAAGATCACAATCAAAAATTTTTTAGTTATCAAATCAAGCAAATTAAGCTCTGTTGATATCTCACAACTGGATAGAGTTAGTTTGAATCTAGAGGATTTCATAATTTAGGATTCAGATATTTTTAGATTTTAAATATTAATCTAAGATCCTAAAAATATCAATATTTAGAATTTTTAAATTATTAATTCGAAAATATTTGATACTAAAAGGATCATTGCCTATTCATTCACAAAAAAATTACTGATAGATTTAAGTTCTAGACAAATAATATCACTCTTTGAAATTCTTCATTTTTTAACACGTAAGTTATCCTTCAAAATTTGTAACATAATTGTAACAATTAACTTCATGAAATAATTTAGATCAAATCTTTTCAAAATGCGTTTATTTTGAAAAGATTTGATCTAAGTTATTTTCAAAGTGAGAATCTAGCTTCATAATTAAAGGATTTTCTGTTCATCTAGATACTTTTACATAATCTAGCTACGCAATTTTATATGGGGCTCTTAATGTACTACTTCTAGACTTTAATTTTGAAAATATTGTTATTTATGAAGGAAACAAATATTTTAATTGCCACTATTTGTTATTAAAAATTTCTACTTCAGTGGCAATAGTCTTTAAGGCTATGAGATCACAATTTTAATAAATATTGTATATTCAGATTTAGACTCTGTTTCCAAAAATGTTTTATCATTTGATAATATTAAATTCTAGAATAATTAATATGTGAGTAGTAGACATAACTTAGCTTGAAATGAATAATTTTATGATTAAGAGAAATCTAAGGCTACCTGAATTTACGACAAAAAATATCAAGAATTTGATTATTAACTAATTTACAGGATAATTGATTAAATAAGTTAAAATTCTTAATCCTTAGAAATCATGTCTTTTGTCTGTAGATGAGGTCAGACAAACAACTTTGTTATTCTTTTTTAATATACTGAACTTAGAAATGTCAAATTTCATTTAATGAATCTCACATGTATAAATTTAACTTTGATTTTAATAAAATAAGAAAAAATTACTCTATTAAATTGTAAATTCACTGAAAATATTCTTCTGATAACGAAAACTTCAGAATAATTGGGAGTATTAGTTAGGATATCCGAACAAGAATAAAAAATGGTTTTTTCTAATATACATTCAGAAAACAATATTTAACACAGTTATATTCAAGACATATCCTTTATTTCCTCTTCAACAATATTATTAATTACTCCATACTCAACTGTTGAGATGAGTAATTCAATATTTTTAAATAATTTAGTTACAAATGGAGAGAACTCTAATCTTATTTTGATTATTAAATCAGTTTCAATAATTGATTCTTAGTTTTTAAATCAAACAACTAAGAATTTTAGTCTTTTTTTCATAACATTTAAATTGGGGATTCTCATATGATGACTAGGTTTAATTGGAAGATTTTTATGAATCATATTCAAATATTTTCTAAAGAAGGAGCGGGATATATAAAAAGTTCAAAGATCTTTTTGGATAATTTATATGTAAACAACACTTAAGCACTATTCGGAAGAGGTTTTTATCTGATAAATCTTTTGGTTCATTGGAGTTGATGAATTCTAAATTTGTAAATTGTAAGACTTTTACAAAAAATTCAGAGAAGTCTAAATACTTTATATATTGACTCTACATAATCTTAGCTAGATCTATAAATAAATAACATTACGATAAAAAATTCCTTTAGCAGAAATGAAGGAGGATGCATTAATATTGAGCCTTCCAGAATAAAAAGTTCTATCAAATTTTAAGATTTTAGTATTTAGAAGTTATATTCGTTGATGACACCTTTCTTAAAATACCTGTAAGTCTTACAAGTTCTTCATTACTACTTTTTATTTAATTTGCTAATGTTTAAATTACTTATTCTTACAGTGGCTATTTAGAGGAAATAGTAGATCTCAAACGAATTGAAGTATCAAATCTAAAAAAAAAAAACTATTTAATTTAAATAGATTAAAAAAATGTTATCATGCAAAATTATATATATAGAAATATCTTTAATTATGGTTTTTTTTAAATTGTCTCAGTTGTGAATTAATAATATTTACAAATTGGACATTAAAAATTTTGCTATGTTGTCAGAAGCAATTTTTAATATAATACTGAAAAAAAGTATTTATTATTATTAAAATCTCATTAGAATTTTTCGAGTAAAATTACATTAAAAGAAGTATCTGTAAAAAATGTAATAGAATCATGATTTTGTCGAAATTCTGAAAGATAAATTAGAAGTTCTGTTGAATTCTGTATATAAATGTAGTTAAAATTTGGAGATTCCAGAGAGTATAGACGTTTTTTATACTAAATAGAGAAAAAAAATAATCTCACTCAATAATTTTTAAGGATAATTAATGGAAGATAATAGTTGATTACAATTTTTAATAAAGATCAAGTGTCTATTTTACATTATTTATTTTTTAAACATTTAAAATGGAGAAAATTATTGTTCAGGTTGCTAAAGTAGCATCTTTCAAATTACAAATATTGACAAAAGCTGATTCAATGAATTTGATTTATATCGGAAATTCAACATTCAAAAATAATACTTACGGATAATTTGGTTTTGTTGTCATGTTATCTTTGGATTAAAAATCTAATCAAATATAGAATAAAAATAGAATTTTATAATCTGTTTAGATTATTGATAATATCAATACAGAAGTAATAATTTTAAACAATGTTTTCATTGAAAATAAAGCAACTTATGGAGGAGCCTTGTTCCAAAATGAATACATTAATCAATAATTGTATTTTTTTAACTAAAATACTGTAATATAGTCTGGAGAGGCCAGCTTCTCTTAGCATTATGATTGTTCAAAAATTGCAATTATATAATTCTTTAATAACACACAATTGTCCCAATGTTGGAGGAGGATTATATTTGGAAAAGTATTAACTGAAAGATCTTAAGATCTTGAAAAATTATCTAAGAAATAACAAAGCTTAGAAATTTGGAGATACTTTGGCTGAAAATTTCTCTTAATTGACTATCAATGAAGAACATTAATTACTTTGGACAAAAAGAATAACTACCAATAATGAATCAGTTTTAGACTAAATTATCTTTAATAACTACACAATAGGTTCAAATACTTACAAATATATTATGGTTTCTAATGGGCAAATAGTGTCAGATTATAAATTTTATGATGAAATTACTTAATGTTTTATCAACTACAATTTTAGCTTAAGGATCATCCCTTAGAACAAATAATATGATAGAATCAAAAACTTGACTGGATCTTAGTGTCTTATAAGAAGTTGTTAAATCATTAATTCAAAATCAGGAGAATATAATTCACACCTAATAAATTTGAAGAGTGTCCTTTTCAATGAAACTACATAGATTACAATTTAGATTCCCATATTGTGTATTTCAATCCAGATTTGAATCTTAATGGATATTTACAATTAGAAATATCATGCAATTCAGTATCGATTGGTTTGTACTCTCAAGATCCTCCATATTACTTCACTTCTTTTCAGATATTTAAAAATTTACATGCTAGAGAGGAGAGTATAAAAACATGATGACACTTGTGTTTATGTGATGCTCAAATTGATTAGTATAATATTGAGGCAGGCGAGTAATGCTAAATAAAGAACCAATTAATAATGGATGAAGTGAATGCAGCAAGAGTCAAACTGAAACCATTTTATTGGAGACCTTATGAATAAAGTCATATTATTGAGTACTGTTAACATTTGCCAGAGAATTGTATAGGTGGTTGAAATCCAGGAAATGATTTGTGCATTAGTGTCCACATTGGAGCACTTTTTGAATAGTTTGATTTTTGTGATATTTGAGGGAATAGAAAATATTCTTTTAAGTTCTTTATACAAATTTAGAAGTTGTGAAAATATAGGTGATAATACAATTAAAATTGTGCTTATGAGTTTTTGGACTATGATCTCTATTTTAATTCAGTCTATCGTACTGTTGAAGCTGCAAGTAAAATATACTTTAAAAATAAACCATCCAAATTGAAGATCTTTGCTAAAAATCCAAAGGTAGGGTTTGGTGGAGTATTAATTAAAGTGTTGACCAATTACCTTGAAATTTTTAAAACCATATCAAAATTTTAATTGTAATTGCCAAGTGTAATTTAGTCTAGAATTCGTTCTGTTAGCAATCCTGTAGAATCAATGAGTTTATCATTCGATTGCTTCTTAATTAGCATATCAAATTTTGATATAATTTACTTGAGAATGATATGGGCTCTAATTATGCCCATTTTATATATTATCAGCTTTTTACTGTTATACACGATATGGATTTTGATTAGTCTAACTAAAGCTAATAAGAGTGCCATAACAACAAGCGCTATATATTTATTTACATATTTATAGCCTATTCTATAAGGAGGGTTTATCTCATTATTGTCTTTTAGGAAAATCTCAAATATCTATTGGATTCAAGGAAATGTTGCTTGTAGATATAATACTCAATCCCATTTTAATTGGATGATAACATTTATTTTACCTTTTACTCTTTATCTCGATGCAGTAATTTCGATTTAAAAGTTTTTAAGTCTATTTTAAAAGAGAAATAAATTGACAGATAGTGGACTAGAAAGATTTGGGGTTATTTGTATAATGAATATTCTCAATAGGCCTACTTTTGGGAGATTGTCAAAATTCTTGAAAAAGGATTCATGATTGTTTTTTTGACCTTTTATGAAGATTTATTTATCATAAAAGCAGCCATGATCTTTATTATAACATTCATCTATTTAAATATGATTGATGAAATCAGCACACTAGTTTGTGAAACTTCAATTTTTCTGGGTATGACTTTATACTCAGCTTCATTTTCTGATAATCAAGAAATAATTTAGCCTTTCTATATAATTTTGCTTAGGATCAATATTACCTTTATAATTATCATTCTTTCGGAAATCGTACTAGCTTATTTGGAAGATTAAATAAGAGAATATTGATAAGATTAGAGAAAGAATAGATAAAAAGTTTCCAACATTATAGCAAATGAATTGGCTCTTTAGTAGAATACTTACTAACACGGAGAACAGTAATAAAGAGTAAGAGATCGATTTTAAAAGATTAGATAATATCTGATGAAAATGTAAGGGATAATCCTGGTAGATAGTATTTTCCAAGTATTTAGTAATGTAATAATACACCTATTGAAGAAAATCAAGATGAGAATATAATTGAATTTTTAGCATATTTAAACTTGCCATTTGATTCAAATAAAGAGAAACCTAAAATAATATTGATTAAACAAGTAAAACGAAAGTCTATCCAAAGTTACCAGATATTAACAGAATTAATTAGTTATAATAGTAGGATTATAAAATAATGATAATTAATGAATAATGTATGAAAATAAAAAATATTTATAAATTATGAATTTTTGATTATGTCCTGTCTTCACAATAATGTTTATTTACTTCACATTTTTGCCTTTTATCCATTCTTACTTTTATATATACATGAGTTTTACTAATTATAGATTCTCAGCTGTTATCAATATAATTTATGAGATTTATAATAATATTGATATTTACTTAGAATAGGAATACTCTAGAGCCAGAAATTTATAATTTAGACATTGCTTTATTATTTATATTTCAGAAGACTTGTCTAACGAATAGCTATTCATATCTAAATAAGGATTTTACTAATTATTTAATCACAACTAATTTAAGGGTGAAACATGAAATCAAATCCTTAATAATTATATTTTGGCAGTAAAATATTAGTTAGTTGGTTTTTTTCTAAAAGACTTGTGATGCTAATTTGGATACCTTTCTGTAAAAGGAGATATAGATATGATTGATAAGACTCTTTAATTAAATATTAGCTTTTTATTGATCCTAGAATAAAATCAAAACTGATCTCTTTCATAGTAGATCAAGATTTAGATTATGTCTTCTAAGTGTGGATTACTAGTTTCTCTAATCTAAGGATTTCAAGAGAAATCACAGAGTTAACAAAAAATTATTTCAGATATTCTATTATTTTGTAAAATTTAAATAATGTACATTTTTCTTTTTTATTTAAGTTATTAAAAACTAATAATGTTTTGATTATTACTGCATTCAAATTATGTTTTTGTTCCTTTCATTCTAATACTTATATATCTCTGAAATTACCTCTGGTTGAGTTTTGGAATACACTAGTATGTCAGGAAAAGCTAAAGAATTTTTAATGAGATATATATATCTTTTTTCAATCTCCAATTTACTTAACAATAATGTTAATAAATTAATATTTACAATATCTATTTGGAGAAAATAAAATTACAAAAATTATCAAAAAATCATTTTTTCAATATATTTAATTAAAATAATATAGAATTTGTCTTTTCTTATTGATTTTCCAAAATGATTAATTATAAAAATAACATCCTAACGTTTAACACAATGAAATACCTTTAAAACAAGAAACAAATATTTTATGATCAAGAATAAAAGAAGCATCACAAACTATTATGAAAATGAATGAAAGTAAGAAATGATAATTTTCATGATTGCAAGCATAAACTTCGATTAATTGCATGAAATTGGATTAATGAATAAAATCAGATTTGAAATTTGTTCTTTTCTTTCAAAGAATAAATACATTATGAAAATTTAATTAAATGCCCAACTTAATTATATTTAATAATAATAAAGTTGTAAAAATAATTCTATAATATTAGAATCTACTAAATAATTTTAAGAAATATTTCATTAAAGTTCTTCTTATTTTAAGACTATTTTGATTTGCCTCTAAAAAGAATCATCAAATAGCAATATAGATTAGGGTATTAAATAAACAACTCTTTTAAGAAGGCTGATTTATTAAACTTCATACTTACTGTTTACTACAATTACACATAAGCCAAAGATTACCTACAATACAATACCAATTGCATAAATAAACTAGTAATATTAATTTATTTATATACATTATATGATTATTAAAGTTAAGTCGAATAACTCTTTAAATTTTGCTCAAGTTTATTGACTAATTCTTAAATAACCCAAGCAGTAAATGTTGCCCCTTCTAATTCCTTTACAGGTAATTAACTATTAGATCTCGACGTAAAGTTATTAACTTATTTTTCAGCGAAAAGTGAATTTTGCATCAAATTTAAAGTTGCTATCAATCCTTTAGTCAATATTCCATGTAAAACAATTGGACATAAAGATTGTGAAACATTAGCATATTTCTACAGTTATAATAATTATTACTTCAGGTAAGAAATTGCATATTGATGAGGTGCTTGCATCATGAAATAGTTTTATCGAATTTTCATCAAGTAAGTAATCATCTTGATTAACTTCAATAAATTTCTATGAAAAATTAGTTATTTAATGAAGACTTGTATCAATCTGATCTTGAATATCCTAAATATCTTCTGGTGATAGAAATGAAAAAGCAGCAATCCTATACATAACTTCTCTTTGAGCATAGATAATTAAAACATCAACTCCTGTGTTTGAAAGTGATGAATAAATTTCTCCAGTATTTTTTTATTTAAACAAATACTTATCAAGAGAATCAATTGTTAGTATATTTATAAGTAAAAAGAAACAGAAATTTGCTAATGCAATCGAAATTTAGAAAAAGTTAATGAGATTTAATTGTCTATTTCTTCTTAAGTTATTGATTTTCTTACCCTTTTTATTGACTAAATCATAGTAATCCTTTTCGCGCATCTTTAAATTATCATCGAATATTTAAATATCTAGGGCATATTGACATATATGATTATAATTTGTATTGATTTAAGTAGAAAGTATTGATAATCGATGACTTTCTTAATGCATGACATCCTTGTCTTATTGACATAGCAGACTTAAAAATTTGTTTTTTAATTTACGTTATTTAATTAAATATGATACATATCCCAATGTTATTAATGCCAATAATATATTAAAGATAATATTTATCAATGCTAGTTCATACTATTAATTTTATAGCAATAATATGAGTAATTCTAAGACATCTGAATTAAATTATGTAAACATTTCAAAAATAGGAATGTAATTCTTATATGAATAATAAGAGTAAGCACTATCTATTACAAGAGGTCTGATAGTATAAGCCAATTTGTATTCATATTGATAATTGAGCATAGCCAAAATTCCACTTCTAAAAGTTGTATTTCTTTAGCTTCCTTTATTAGTAGAAGTATACCAAAACGCTTCAAAGTATTTATCTTTTAGAAATGATTGAAACTCTCTTTTCTAAATAACATCCATAATGTTCACTTTTAGATCATCATATCCCTTTGCTAAATTTGATCTTGGAAACTTAATTAAATAATCATATTCCTGTTAAGATATAATCTTACTTGACAATGCTCCATTCAATCCAACTATAGTATATCTTGTATTTAAGAATGATTCTATTGGTTCATAGATATCATATTTAATTTTCAATAATACCATTAATTCTTAATATTTCTATAAGTTTGCAACTTAATCAATTAAAAGACTAAAATTAAGAACTCCAACAATAACATAGATTATAAAGATGATGTTAAATGCCTTAATATTGGGTGGAAATATTTTAGAGAATATTAAATCATTTACAATTTAAAATTATTTAAAATAGATTGACCTTCTAATTGCAGCTACTGAAGAAATTTAAGAACCAGCATCATCAAATTTTTCTTAATCATTTTTAGAAATCTAATTTTTTTCGGTATTAATAGAACTTTTTGCTTTATTCTACATAATATTGAAATTATCTTAATCCTTTGAATCTTTCAATCGAAGCTCTGAAGGATCACAATTACTTAAAAATACTAATGGTCTTTCAGATTCTAAATTAGAATTAATTGGAAGTTGCCAAATTTAATTTGGAACTGTTTATTCATAAAAATTATGGATTTCTAATGGAATATTAATAATTTCTTTTTCATCCATATCTCCTTATTGTATAGACATTATTTCGATCATATCTTTTCTTTCTGATTTAAAATCACTTATTTCAAAAATGTAATATAAGATTTTCTTATTAATAACTCTTGGCTTTATGGAAATATCACCTTGATAATATTCTTGTGATCTATTTTAACTTCTTAAACTACTAGACGTTTATTTATTTTATGGAAAGCACAACGAATAAGACCTTAAAGTTTTATCTAAAGATAAATCTTCTTTTTTTAATTCTGGTATTAGAGTGAATATAGATGAATTATACAATTGCATTTTAACGAAAGTTGGATATTCTAAAGTTTCAAAATATAAAGCTTGTGAGATCTCTTTGATTCTATATCTATCGTCTACTATGATATAATGAAAGGAATTGTTTGTATGTGCTTCTTTTATGAATGTTATTGCCATCAATTAGTTCATCTTTTAATCAAATTAAATATCCATACACAATTCAATAGGAATTATAATGCCTGTAGATATTTGTAAAAATGATTAATTAAAATTTAAAAAGTATTTATTCTATCCAGTAGAAATAAATTCTTTCATAAACTATTTATGAAAAGATACCAATGATTATGGAACCATTTCATTAAAGGCACTATATTTATTAATCCCAATATTTAATTATTATGATACACTATTTGATGCTAACTCAATATTACCTTCTTCTCCAATAATAAATTTAGCATATGAAAATTGATTAACAAGTTGTTGATAAATATTGTTTACAAATATCATTTCTTCTTAATTTTCTGATAAAGTACTTGCTGCATTAATTTTTTGAGAATTTATTAGATCATTTAAGACTTCAATTTAGAAGAATAACAATAATCCTTTATTACTATGTGCTAAATTTAAATAAATATCATACTTGGAATCTTTTAAAAATTGAGAATCAATTATTATTTAAATTCATCCATTTGATTGATAATTTTGAATGCCTTATTATTTATTTTTTTAGCATTTAAAGAAGTAGAATTTGATAATTCTTCTAAAAAATCAATTTTTAATTTCAATATTCTATTGAATTGATTTTAAATAGTCTTTTCTGAATCTTTCTTTTATTAATAAGATTTTATTGCTTATTTAAATCCCTATGATTTAGTCGAATGTTAAGCACTATTTAAAAGGGATGATTAAATATTAATTAAAATTTTTTATTAAAGCAATTTTAACAATAATTTATGCAATAATGATACCTATCCTTTTATTATTTGAACTTGTGTAGTAAATTTTGATTTTTTATTGATTTAGTTTATCAATTTTTAAGTAATGTTTAATGCTTCAAAATATTTATTATTAAGTATAAGTAATTAAATATACTATATGTAGAGTATTGATGATTTTATTTTCTATTATGATATCAGTTATTTGTATTCATGAATTTATTCTTTAATAATCAAATGATCCAATTTAATCATAATCATTTCATCATTCCTACAAAAACAAGATTTATTTGAGCAATCCTCTTAATGTTTTTATATCAAAATCTTATTAATCAATCTATATTCTGAGTCTCTTTTCGAAATAAGATTTTAATATAAATAAATCTTCTTTCTTCCACACATTAGTTTCTATTCCCCTTAATTTTAATTTGATTAAATTGAGATAACATTATCATTTAAGTAAAATTAACATATTGATTTGTAAAGTAAAATCCCAACAATTATCCACAAAAATTCTAATGAAGAAGTACTAGCCATCACAAATACTTATTATATTGAAACGCATATAATTAAGCTTTACATTAATACATCCAATTTAATAATTAATATGTCCAATCTTATTTTCAGTATTAATTATATATATAATTCTAAAAAACTACTTAGTATTGAAATTCCTAATACTATATAAGATTTATTAGTTATTTAACTTGCAAAAAGACAAAGAGTCATTATTTTTAATAATTTAGCATACAATACCAATATTGTTTGTTAATTTATTTAGTTCAATTATTTTGGTATATAATGTAAACTTTTATTCCAAAATAATTCTTAGAATATAATTAGGAAAAAGATTTCTAAAATAATTATGGTTGAACAGATAATACAAGATATATTATCTTATACATTATCAAATAATATTACAAAGCATCCTTCTAATAGAACAAACCCCAAAAACTCTGTTAAAAACAAAAATAAGGTTTTCCATAACAAAATTAAAATAAAATTTAGGGTTGAATGAGACTCATATTTTTGAATTACATTTATGAATGATTTTATCTTTTTCTTCTCCCTATATATGATTAGATAACACCAGTAGAATATCAGTATTTGCATAAGCACAAAAGTAACTATTGTGTATGCAACCTATAAATCTTATTGTATAAAATATGTATATGGTCTAATAATATATACAAGGAAACTTTCAAAAGACTTTTTCTCACCTTGCCCATCTGAGTATATTAATAATCCACATTTTAGTATCATTAATTCACTTAGAAATTGAGAGGCAATATGAATTATTTATGATGGTTAGCGGGTAAACTCTAATATTATCATTGATCTGTAGATAATAACAGTCAAAATCTTAATGAACTTCATTCAAGANTAATGCTTCAAAATATTTATTATTAAGTATAAGTAATTAAATATACTATATGTAGAGTATTGATGATTTTATTTTCTATTATGATATCAGTTATTTGTATTCATGAATTTATTCTTTAATAATCAAATGATCCAATTTAATCATAATCATTTCATCATTCCTACAAAAACAAGATTTATTTGAGCAATCCTCTTAATGTTTTTATATCAAAATCTTATTAATCAATCTATATTCTGAGTCTCTTTTCGAAATAAGATTTTAATATAAATAAATCTTCTTTCTTCCACACATTAGTTTCTATTCCCCTTAATTTTAATTTGATTAAATTGAGATAACATTATCATTTAAGTAAAATTAACATATTGATTTGTAAAGTAAAATCCCAACAATTATCCACAAAAATTCTAATGAAGAAGTACTAGCCATCACAAATACTTATTATATTGAAACGCATATAATTAAGCTTTACATTAATACATCCAATTTAATAATTAATATGTCCAATCTTATTTTCAGTATTAATTATATATATAATTCTAAAAAACTACTTAGTATTGAAATTCCTAATACTATATAAGATTTATTAGTTATTTAACTTGCAAAAAGACAAAGAGTCATTATTTTTAATAATTTAGCATACAATACCAATATTGTTTGTTAATTTATTTAGTTCAATTATTTTGGTATATAATGTAAACTTTTATTCCAAAATAATTCTTAGAATATAATTAGGAAAAAGATTTCTAAAATAATTATGGTTGAACAGATAATACAAGATATATTATCTTATACATTATCAAATAATATTACAAAGCATCCTTCTAATAGAACAAACCCCAAAAACTCTGTTAAAAACAAAAATAAGGTTTTCCATAACAAAATTAAAATAAAATTTAGGGTTGAATGAGACTCATATTTTTGAATTACATTTATGAATGATTTTATCTTTTTCTTCTCCCTATATATGATTAGATAACACCAGTAGAATATCAGTATTTGCATAAGCACAAAAGTAACTATTGTGTATGCAACCTATAAATCTTATTGTATAAAATATGTATATGGTCTAATAATATATACAAGGAAACTTTCAAAAGACTTTTTCTCACCTTGCCCATCTGAGTATATTAATAATCCACATTTTAGTATCATTAATTCACTTAGAAATTGAGAGGCAATATGAATTATTTATGATGGTTAGCGGGTAAACTCTAATATTATCATTGATCTGTAGATAATAACAGTCAAAATCTTAATGAACTTCATTCAAGAAACAATTTATTAAATAAATACTTCAATTAATTCTTATCCTTTAAAGTTATAAAGTATATCATACACAATAACCCATGAAGTGAGAAGTTTAATTGTATTCATTTAATTACAAAAAAATAAAGAATTCTCAAGAACATTGACAATCTTATAATCAGATTCAATTTATTTAAGTGTTGTAATTTAATATTCAATAATCTAAAACTTGACATTTGATCAAAATTAAATAAAGAATTCATTTGCATGAATAACATTTTATTACAAAGCCAATAAATTAATTCAATAATCATTTTTCATTAATTATAATAACTAATAAATTATCTCAAATTTAATTTTCTTATATTAGAATTACTCATCAATTACTAAGCAATAATAAGGCTAACAATAAAAATATTATTAAAATTGATTAATTGCAAAATTATTCTAATTATTTTTAAGGTTTTTAAACAATCCTATAATTTAATTAGCTTTAATATATCTACAATTATTATTATTATAAATATCCAATTAAATGGATTTAATTAATGTGATCTAAATTATATTACAATAAATCACAATATCCCTTTAATTAATTATTTCATACATATTAATTCAACTTTCATTATTTCAATTTTAAAGCCAAAAAAATACTATTTGACTATTCTTAAAATTTTATATTTATCAAAACATTTATCAATTAAACATAATAATTAAATTCAAATTTAGGAAATTTTAGTTAATCACTTTCATTCATAGATTCTATATCACAGAAGATTCCATCAAATTATAATCAAATATTTAAACAAAAATTAATAAACTAATCATAATATTCTTTATTCTGATTAATTATTTTCTTGCATTCCTAACAAAATTTTTCAATTATGAATATATTATATTAATAAATAAAATTTTAATATTTATTATCAAGTGTTTGTATGTATCCTTATTTATCATCATTTCAGTATATGAGTACCTAATTTTATTGGCACTCTTTAATATAGCATCATTAAAAATTAAATAAATAAAATGCTAATCTAGCAAACTTGAGAATATTAACTATATTATAATAATTCAAAGAAAAATTTGAGTTTCTTATTCAATAAAATAGAAATTATTCAGAAGTGTAATCAATAAACGAAAATTTTTATTTTTAAAAAGTGTTTTGGATTAAGGGAAAGTGTTTTCGATAATAAACTAAGGTTATAATTGTTATTATTAATTAACTTTAATAGAGATTGTTAAATTTAATATTAGATATAATCATGCACCTTCTTCTATAAATTTTACATTTATATCGATTTATTTTCTTTCTTAATTATTTAAATTAAAAATTCTTAAATTCTCTTACTAGATTAAGGATTATTGTGAATTGAGACTATACTATTTTAACCCTTTTGTAATTGAAAACTATAATCTTTTTGCAAACAAATCTATTTTCAGAATATTAGTGAATGTAAATTTTAGGTCATCCAAAGCTATTTTACTATTTAAATCCTGCTATAGATAAATGATATACCATGACAATAAACTTTTCCAATACTGTAAAGATAAATTTTACTCTTTCGTATTCCTACATTAATCTTAATATTTTATAAAAAAATATTTTTTTTCTGATAATTTTTGAAGATCAATCAATTTCATGTTATATATATATATATTTACATCATCTTCACTATTTCTTAATTAAATATATATTTCCAAATTCTTTTGGTTTGCAATTTGAATCATTCAATAAAATCTCACAAATCTTTTCTAATTAAACTAATTTTAGCTAAGATCCAAATTATATTTAATTTTATTAGATCAATTAGAACTATTGTTAAGATTCTAGTTTGAATTTTGACTCATGTGTAGATGAAACTGATTATCTGTGTTTAATTATAATACTTTTTCCTTTTTTATAATATATTTGAGACTTACTTTATTAAATTTATGGTTCTTAAGTAACAGAGAAATCTTGAGGTAATGATTATCTTCTTCTATTATTTTGGGTTTTTAAAAACTAAAGAGTCTAACACCTTAAGTTTCTAATCTCCATTGTTTTTGGTTCATGTCTATAAAATTATATATTTAAATTTACTCTTAAATTTCTTATGATAATTCATTGAATTTAGATAAGCTTTCTTTAAAAAAGTCATGATCTAAACATTATTATAAAGTAAATCTATGTCGTGGATTTTTTCTAACCATAGAAATGATTAAAGATTTAAGTGATTAAGGGATGCAAACACGATCATCAAAATTAATTTAAGCATTTACATTTTATCTTAAAGTTTCATCTTTTGTCTTACTTTTAAAAGGATGAACATTAAAAAATCTATTTAATTTTTCTACTCTTACATTTCATAAATAATTACACCAATACTAAACACATCACATGACTATCCATACATCTTAGACTTTTCTCTATATTCTATAATTTCAGGTGCCACATATCCAGGAGTACCACATTTATATAGAATATGTTATTGTTATTTTATTGATGTAGAGAATCCAAAATCTCCAATTCCAAATTACCAATCTTAAGGATCTTTATTTTTGTAGAGGATATTAAATGGTTTTAAATCTCTATGCATAATTCCCTAATTTCGATATAAAATACTTTGGTGTGCATATAATGTACAGTTTCAATTAACAATTTAGCCAACTCTCTTTTCATAAGGAAATTAAAGTTTTTGATTTTATCCATCAATTGTCCTCCTTCAAATAAGCTAATAACTAATTAAATATGCTCTATTTATTAATATAAATTCTACTTTCTGATTCATAAACTTGATGTAATTTCATTATATTAGGATGATCCAAACTCCTCATCATAAATATTTCTTCTAATAATGTTTTCGATCTCAATATACGATGTCTTCCAGTAGCTTGCTCTTTCTCAATCTATTTTACTGCATATTACTTATGATCTAGAATATTTTCTGCCAAAAAGACCTAATTTATTTTGTAAAGTCTTACTTGAGCTGTAGAACCAGTACCTATATTTTGAAGCAATTAANATAATTTTTGAAGATCAATCAATTTCATGTTATATATATATATATTTACATCATCTTCACTATTTCTTAATTAAATATATATTTCCAAATTCTTTTGGTTTGCAATTTGAATCATTCAATAAAATCTCACAAATCTTTTCTAATTAAACTAATTTTAGCTAAGATCCAAATTATATTTAATTTTATTAGATCAATTAGAACTATTGTTAAGATTCTAGTTTGAATTTTGACTCATGTGTAGATGAAACTGATTATCTGTGTTTAATTATAATACTTTTTCCTTTTTTATAATATATTTGAGACTTACTTTATTAAATTTATGGTTCTTAAGTAACAGAGAAATCTTGAGGTAATGATTATCTTCTTCTATTATTTTGGGTTTTTAAAAACTAAAGAGTCTAACACCTTAAGTTTCTAATCTCCATTGTTTTTGGTTCATGTCTATAAAATTATATATTTAAATTTACTCTTAAATTTCTTATGATAATTCATTGAATTTAGATAAGCTTTCTTTAAAAAAGTCATGATCTAAACATTATTATAAAGTAAATCTATGTCGTGGATTTTTTCTAACCATAGAAATGATTAAAGATTTAAGTGATTAAGGGATGCAAACACGATCATCAAAATTAATTTAAGCATTTACATTTTATCTTAAAGTTTCATCTTTTGTCTTACTTTTAAAAGGATGAACATTAAAAAATCTATTTAATTTTTCTACTCTTACATTTCATAAATAATTACACCAATACTAAACACATCACATGACTATCCATACATCTTAGACTTTTCTCTATATTCTATAATTTCAGGTGCCACATATCCAGGAGTACCACATTTATATAGAATATGTTATTGTTATTTTATTGATGTAGAGAATCCAAAATCTCCAATTCCAAATTACCAATCTTAAGGATCTTTATTTTTGTAGAGGATATTAAATGGTTTTAAATCTCTATGCATAATTCCCTAATTTCGATATAAAATACTTTGGTGTGCATATAATGTACAGTTTCAATTAACAATTTAGCCAACTCTCTTTTCATAAGGAAATTAAAGTTTTTGATTTTATCCATCAATTGTCCTCCTTCAAATAAGCTAATAACTAATTAAATATGCTCTATTTATTAATATAAATTCTACTTTCTGATTCATAAACTTGATGTAATTTCATTATATTAGGATGATCCAAACTCCTCATCATAAATATTTCTTCTAATAATGTTTTCGATCTCAATATACGATGTCTTCCAGTAGCTTGCTCTTTCTCAATCTATTTTACTGCATATTACTTATGATCTAGAATATTTTCTGCCAAAAAGACCTAATTTATTTTGTAAAGTCTTACTTGAGCTGTAGAACCAGTACCTATATTTTGAAGCAATTAATAATGCTACTCAAAGCCATCGATAATACAACATCTCTATAGTTCTCTTAAAAATTAATCGATCTCAACTGAATGGTTAAAATAAAGATCAATTCTACTGCGATCTCTTATTAGAGTAAGACAACTGTCATAAGGAATATTTTGTGTAACATTTTTTTTGTTTAGTTTAAAATAGACATTCTTCAAAACAACAAATCCTCCCAATTCCCCATTCTTTCTATTAACTTAAAAATTTATACCTCTCTAAAATAAAACAAATGTTGTTAAAAGGTTTTATATTGTCTACCTATATACTTTTTCAATATTTTCCCTGTTTTATACAGTGTTATCATCTCTCTCGAATCTTGAAGCAATCCTTACATGAGGTCATTTATTAACTAATAATCTTTTCTCTTCCAAAATTATTCAGATCCAGAATTATATACAAAATATAAGTTTGAGCTTTGCATTAATAAAAAATAATAAACTAATATATATTTTCTCATTCTATTTGATAGTAATTAGTTAAAGCATATTGATTAAATAATTCTAAACTTATAACATTTAACCAACATAATTTTAGTTAACCATTTTTTAATTCATAACTTCATTATTCCTAATTATAAAATCATAAATCTATAATTTATTTACAAATATCTTCCTATATTTAAATTTCTTCAATCAATACCCAATATGTTTTAAAATACCCTGGATTTATCTATATCTCCTATCTATTTACATTATATTATTCTATAAGCATAAAATAATCAATTAATTCCATCTTGACTCAATAATACCACCAAATATGCATCAAATTATAAGGATTGCAATATAGAAGAAGCAAACTACTAAATGCTTATATATTTCTAACTATTTTCTTAGAATAATCTTTTAATAAGGTGAATGTTATTATCCTAGTAATCATGTCCCATAGTCCTTTATTCTCTATTCATTACCTCTCTAGTTGAGATTTACATATTAAATCCCCTTTTTGATCTTTAAGTTTGAAAAGTACTTTAATTTGTTTCTAAAATGTAGAAAAATAAATTTCAAGATATTCAGTTAAATGAAGCTCTTTGAAATGTCTAAAAATAACCTTTCCTTCAACTAAATTGCTTAAATGTTAATTATTAATAAAAAATAAGCTTACAAGTTCCTTCTAAAACGAACTCTTATTATTTTCCTTAATTACTAATATATAAAACTTGTTGACTTCATTATATGAATTAAATAACACATGAATAATATACTAAAAAAACCTATTAAAAATAATTTTTATTATGTTTTTAATTAATTTTTTATGTTATACTCAAGAAACACCTATTATAATAGTTCTGTCTATCTACATATTTGAACTAATGACAACTTGGTTATATGTATTTTTCATGTGTCTTAATTTATATGAAAAACTATACTATTCATGTTTTCAAACATTTTAAAATGCAACCTTATTAAATTAATTACTATTCTCAATTTAAAAAGAGGAAAATGAAAAAAAGAATAATAATATTACAATAAATAAATGTTTTCAATTAATTTTTAATTTATCATTTTTTATTAATCAAACAATTTCGGTCCAGTATTATTTTATTTATTCTAAAGTATTCATGATAGTACTTCATTTCTTAATCCCATTCAGTTTATTATTTTAATGATATTGTTATAACTTGATAATTTAAAAAAATGAAATTATTTATTATCCAAATTTCTTAATATCCTTAAATCTTATACTATACATAACTATATATATCATATTCATGTTATTTATCAAACCTACTAAACATATTATTTACATAATCAAATATAAAACCATAATACTTATCTATAAACCTTATTTATTTATATAAAATCTATAAATAATCTTGTTATAATATAAATTTAACAAAACAATTTAAGTGATTTTATCATGAGGAATCTTAAAAATTTTGAAATATATGGCTGTAATATGATAGTTATATTAAATATTTATTACAATAAAAATAAATGAATGAAATATGGTTATAATAGAACAATTTAAAACTAAAATCATATTTGATAGGATTTAATTAGATTTTTAATTTTGGTTTACATTTAATATGATTTTAGTAATTCTTTATTCCCTTTTGCACTGTTTAGAGCTGTTTAAGGTGGTTTAATTGATTCTAAATTAAATGATGTACCTCTCTTTCTTTTTGGTGGTAATTGGACATGATTTAAATTGTTGATAATTAAGAAATTAATATTAAATCTTGGTTTTTCAAAGCAATATTACTTTTAGCTTGCTTTTGTTTATGGTCTTTTGAAATGAGTTTATCTAAAATTGGTAATATTTATATTTTAATGATTGCTTGCATTCTTTTCTTTTAAATAGATCTCTGCGACTTAATTGAGTCCCCATTTTGGAGAATTAGGTTTATTTTTATTTGTAGTAGAAATTGATCTAAGTTTCCTATTTTATGGTTTTGAACCTTCATAAGTATTTGTATCGATATTTAAATTTTAAGCTTTAGTAATTTAGAATTATTATTCTTTAAGAGATATTGCTCTTTCTTTTATTAAATATGAACATTTGGCTAATATATAATAAGTATATAATACATTTACGAATAATGGGAATAACAAATCCACATTTTTAAGGTTCTAATATAGGTTTAAGTAAAACTATCTCATAATTTTATTCATGCTTTTAATGAACATCTTCTTAAATGATTTATTTTGAAATATCATGAAATCTATTGTGAACATTTAATAATTGATTGACCAAGGGCATATCTTTAGGAAAATACAAATAAACTAATTCTAATGCTCTCGATAAATAATTTTCAGCTTCTGTAAATTGTAATGGATCTAAAATCTGTTCAATGAATCTTGATTCTGTTGATGTACAATAGAGGGAGATCACAAACAAGGAAAATATATGGAGGAATTATTGATTAGTTAAGTTCACTTGAAAGAGAAGGGAATCAAAGTTTAAAGGAGTCATTTAAATGTAACTAAGGATATTGGCTTTTTCAATATATTAAGTTGAACAATCTTTAAAGATATGTAGAAGATTTTCTTAAGTCAATTATTATGTTTTAGAGGAAGGAAAAGTGATAATTATTCCTTATTGTTTTGGTTTTAATTGTGGTAAAGCTATTGACTTTCTTAATACTTCTTCTAAGAGTTTCTTCTGCAAAGATTCTTCTGAGTGGGAATGGAGATCAAACAATAATTTTAATGCCTTTTTGATTGCAATTTTAGAGATAGCCAATGCTTCATGATGTTAACCGATTTCAGATAAAATAATGCAGCATTATAGAAAACATTAGAGTCTAATTGTATCTAAGAGGATTCTCTCTTGTGTTGTTTGATTTATATACTTCTTCAATATCAAAATAGTATCTTCGAAACAAGTGAAGGCATTTTCCAACCATCCTATGGCATAGAATGAGACACCCTTAATATAAAGCATGAGTACCGATGTTGATTTTATTGATTAGTTAATAATGAATAGGAGGACTTGCTATTGCAGTTAGGATTTATTCTGCTTATTTAAATTAGAATAAAGCTTATTGGTATTGATGTTATTCGTATTCCAAGACTCCATATTTGATGGTCTCTTAGAATTTAGATTCAGATTCATCTTCATAGATGTATAGAACAGATTAACTCTTTTTTTTGGAATCCTAACATAAAGGGATTCTAAATACATTCATTCTAATAATTTCAACTGGTTGAATCTTTTAGAACAATTGCAAAAGTAGACTTGTGTCATTTTGATCTTGTACATTTTGCTATTTCTTTTATCCTAAACCATTCAATAGTTTTGGAGACTTTAATTCGTTCATATTAAAAGTATTTTATATAATACATATGGGATAATGTCTCAATTGTTTTAAGAAGAATGAAGAAAGCCACTAAGATGTTGTTTCTTAACAAACTAATACTAATTCTAAACCACTTAATGAACATTAAACAGAAACCATCACTTTCTATAAACAAAGTATTGTTCTTAACAATGATCCACACAAACTTAATGTCACAGACTTTAAATTGATAAAGACAATTGGTAGGGGAAATTTTGGGAAGGTGTTATTAGTTCGAAAGAGATCCAATGGAAAAGTATATGCTATGAAAATTGTGAATAAATATGATCTGCAAGTTAAAAAATAAGTGGAATATGCTAAAACAGAAAGAATTATATTGGAAAAGATTAATCATCCTTTTATAAGTAAACTTCATTATGCATTTTAAACCCCATAAAAGCTTTATTATGTTATTGATTTTTGTGCAGGTGGGGAATTATTCTTTCATTTAAGAAGAGCCTATAAATTCAAAGAGAATTAAGTTTAATTTTATGCTGTTGAAATTATTATCGCTTTAGAATATTTACATGATTCTAAAATCTTATATAGAGATCTTAAACCAGAAAACATCCTCTTATGTTATGATGGCCATATCAAATTAATTGATTTTGGATTATCTAAAATTATCAGCAATCGAGATAAACCATCCTTTTCTATAGTAGGAACTCCAGAATATCTTGCTCCTGAAANTTTAGAGATAGCCAATGCTTCATGATGTTAACCGATTTCAGATAAAATAATGCAGCATTATAGAAAACATTAGAGTCTAATTGTATCTAAGAGGATTCTCTCTTGTGTTGTTTGATTTATATACTTCTTCAATATCAAAATAGTATCTTCGAAACAAGTGAAGGCATTTTCCAACCATCCTATGGCATAGAATGAGACACCCTTAATATAAAGCATGAGTACCGATGTTGATTTTATTGATTAGTTAATAATGAATAGGAGGACTTGCTATTGCAGTTAGGATTTATTCTGCTTATTTAAATTAGAATAAAGCTTATTGGTATTGATGTTATTCGTATTCCAAGACTCCATATTTGATGGTCTCTTAGAATTTAGATTCAGATTCATCTTCATAGATGTATAGAACAGATTAACTCTTTTTTTTGGAATCCTAACATAAAGGGATTCTAAATACATTCATTCTAATAATTTCAACTGGTTGAATCTTTTAGAACAATTGCAAAAGTAGACTTGTGTCATTTTGATCTTGTACATTTTGCTATTTCTTTTATCCTAAACCATTCAATAGTTTTGGAGACTTTAATTCGTTCATATTAAAAGTATTTTATATAATACATATGGGATAATGTCTCAATTGTTTTAAGAAGAATGAAGAAAGCCACTAAGATGTTGTTTCTTAACAAACTAATACTAATTCTAAACCACTTAATGAACATTAAACAGAAACCATCACTTTCTATAAACAAAGTATTGTTCTTAACAATGATCCACACAAACTTAATGTCACAGACTTTAAATTGATAAAGACAATTGGTAGGGGAAATTTTGGGAAGGTGTTATTAGTTCGAAAGAGATCCAATGGAAAAGTATATGCTATGAAAATTGTGAATAAATATGATCTGCAAGTTAAAAAATAAGTGGAATATGCTAAAACAGAAAGAATTATATTGGAAAAGATTAATCATCCTTTTATAAGTAAACTTCATTATGCATTTTAAACCCCATAAAAGCTTTATTATGTTATTGATTTTTGTGCAGGTGGGGAATTATTCTTTCATTTAAGAAGAGCCTATAAATTCAAAGAGAATTAAGTTTAATTTTATGCTGTTGAAATTATTATCGCTTTAGAATATTTACATGATTCTAAAATCTTATATAGAGATCTTAAACCAGAAAACATCCTCTTATGTTATGATGGCCATATCAAATTAATTGATTTTGGATTATCTAAAATTATCAGCAATCGAGATAAACCATCCTTTTCTATAGTAGGAACTCCAGAATATCTTGCTCCTGAAATATATTCAGATGATAAACTTGGCCATGATGAATCATGTGATTGGTGGAGTTTGGGAGCTTTGATGTATGAAATGTTAACCGGAGCTGCACCTTTTTATAGTCAAGATCGAACTCTCATGTTCAGAAATAGAACTGAAAAACCAACAGAAATGAAACCTTGGTTTTCTGAAGCCTGTTCGAGTCTACTCACAGGATTATTAAATAATAATGTAAATATATTCTATATTATCAGCCTAAATAAAGAATTAATATATAATAAATAAAAAAACATCCATTCTTTTCAGATATAGATTGGAATTAAGCTTAAAATCGTTAATTAGTACCTCCTATTATCCCGGAATTAAATGATGAATTAGATCTAAGATATTTTAATAAAGTAATCACATTATAATCGTAAGATGTTTTTGGATGAACCTCCAATAGATAGTCCAGTAAATAGAAAAGAATAATTTGACAATTACGATTATTTTACTTACGATTCAGAAACAATAACAGAACCTTGAAAATTAATCAGTTTATAATTATAATTATAATAATAATAAATCATTATCTTATTGTATTTTTTGTGTTTCTCATACTTATACTATAAATAATCATTTTTCATATATTTAAGAATTTTAATTAAAATGACTTTAATCTCTAATGAATATTCTAATCAAATTATGATGATTAAATCATTTAATAAAATAATATGTTTTTTATTCTTTAAATTGCCAAATGGTTGAATAGAATAAATAATATTTTTATTATATTGTATCTAGGGGTTAAAATGATTGTTAATAAAATGCTATTAAGTTTGAGATATTAATTACATTAAAAGATTTATTATATCTGTATTCTCTCTTTGATTTAAACATAAAAACATTCAAGTAATTGTTCAAAAACAAGCAATAATACTTCATTAATTCAATCATCTGTGTTTAATAATAATATTGATTATTTTAATTTATTGATTTAAAGAATAAAATAAATTCAATTATTATAGTAAAATTCAAATTATGAAAGTTAAGATAAAAGAATGGAATGCTGTTGCTTCATGGATATGGAGTCTAGATACAGATAGATGCACAATTTGTTAGTTAGCATTTGAATAACCTTGTCCAAGATGTAAATTACCAGGAGATGAATGTCCTCCTGTTACAGGTGCATGCAATCATCATTTTCATTTACATTGTATAGTTAGATGGACTGAAGAATAAGATTATTGCCCACTTGATAGATAAAAATGGAAAGTTAAAAATTGATAATGAAAAATATATTGGCTTCGATGTTCATAAAATGTCATTACTATTATTGTTATTTTTTTGGTTTTTTCTTATTCAAAAATCTTTCTATTGCTTATAAATCTTAATCATTTTCTAAATCCATCATTTCCTCAATATTTAATGGTTCCAAACTAATTACTGTCTATTACTTTTTTCTAATTTAATAATTAGTAATAATTTATACTATTATTGATTACCAATACCTAAATTAGTTTTCATATCTAAAATAGCATCAGCAATCAATTATTATCTCTTTTTAAGTAAAACCATATCATGATCAATTCGACCTGTAGGATCTCCAGCTGAAAATTTGAATTCTGTATTCTTAAACATTAAATATAAAGAATCTGCCATTTTTGATACAGCTTTTAATAAAAATTAATGATCATTCACTTTAGGTCTATAAAATATATATTTTATTAGTCTTACTCTATAAATTCATTCCAAAATTATGCTACTGCCCTTATTGTATCTGGACAATCAAAACAATTTAACCATGCTTTGATTCTTATATCACTTGCCAAATTCAATTCAATTTCTCCTTTCATTTATGTCCTATAAGCAAAGTATTCTCTAAAAGCTGATTACATACCTAAAGCCCATTTATTTAATAAACATTTATATGGTAAAGCTGATAATTTATAAATAGTTTAAGGAGTCAATTTTACTACTTCTATTGTTAATTATGATTTAATATTTGAAGATAATGCTTTAATAACAGATCTCCAACCATTTCTATTTGTTCTAATATCCTTTTTATCAATAGTTATATCTTTAAGAGGAGCACCTCCTTTTAATTCTAATAGTTATTTACCTGGTTTTAATTAATAAACAGGAATAGATCCATATGCACAAGATATTTATATTAATCGACCTTTATTAGTTGAATATGTGATAAATTCAAAAACTAATTCAGTCATATTGTCCATTTTCTCATCAAAATTTCCCCATCTTAAATACATTGCTTATTCCATTGCAGCAGAATCAAAAATCCATCTATCTTCATATTCTGAATTCCATTAAGCAGGAATATAGATTGCATTGCCATCAAATTTATTTAATGCTTTATCCATAAGAATGATACCAATTTCTCTTTTTAAAAATGAATTTCTGGGTACATCTTTTTCATCAGGAATTGGTATACCTGTTGCTTCAATCAATCTAATTTCTGCAATAAAATTATTTTTGATATTAACTTTATCAAGAATACTCTATTTTATATTGAAATTGGCAGCATCTACATAATTTAATCCTTAATAGAAAAATCCACAATTATCTAAGATAGGTTTTAATTATTATGAAGGTAAATTTTATAACTTTTTATTTTAACTTCGTATAAAACTCATTATAAAATTTTATGGTAATGTCAAAAATATTTCTTTTAAATCATGTAATGATATTCTTCGACTACCTTTAATATTCATAACAGCTGCAGATGCTTTTGCTGACATTCCTGATTAATTTTTTTAAATAAAGTAAATAAATTCATCAATATCTATTGAACCTGATTTATCTTCATCTATTTCAATAAATAAGTCTTCAAGTTCTTCATTTTTAATTTGAACACCCATATTTTAAAATACTTAACTAACTTATTCTTTTGATAACATTCTTGTAGTAGGATTACAAACTTATCTAAATTCTCTTCTTAAATCTTCTAATAAATCATCTGCTTATAATAATTCTTTTTTTAATATATCTTTTACAATGTGTGAAAATTCTTAATAAGATATAGTACCACTTTTATCTCTATCAAATTATGCAAAATATTATGTTAATTCTTCAGTTCCAGGATTAAGTCCTACTGATTATAATGCCTTAAGTAATTCCCTTTAATCTAGAGATTAATTTTTATTTTCATCTATTTAATTAAATAATTCTTGAATTTCTTATTCAATATCTTAACTCATAATGATTTATTCAGCCTTGTTTTTATTTTATAGATCTCCTTATTTTGATTAAAATACTAATCTAAATTCATTTATTGAAATATGTCCACTTGAATTAGCATCTAAATAATCATATAAATCTTCACATTAAATAGCTGTTAATCCAAATTATGCTTCAAGTGCTTTTTTAACAAATATATTTTTGTCAATAGTACTAACTTAATTAGGAGGGAAAAAGTAAAGTGCAAAATCATCATATGTTTTATTTCTTTTTTTCAAAAATTCATTTATTATTGGTAACATTTTTGTAAACTTTTCTTTATTTTAACTATTAATTGTATTCTTTCTTTAATCTTTATTAGCCAATCCAAATTATTATTTCTCATCATCTTAATTAAATTATCCAACTTTATTTCTATCAACTTTTAAAGATTAAGCCAAATCACTTAAATTGATAAATCCATTTAATTACAATAATTACTTTATAGCTTTCATTTCTTCCCCTGAAATAGTTCCCAATAATTTTTTACTTACTTACAAAAAATCATTATATGGTATTTAATTATATCCTTTCTTATCATATTATTCAAATAAATTAAAACAATTTTTAGAAAGAACTACTTCAGATAAATGTAATAAAAATTCATCTAATGTTTATTTTAATCCTTATTCCATCAATTATGATTATTATTATTATCCATTATTATTTTTAGTAGGTACAATTATTTAATTCAAATTTAATATTTCATCATACATTTTATATGTTATTATACCTGATTATTAAGTATCCCAATATTAAAATGCTTCTCTTAATTCTCTTTCATTTAATCCAATTTTTAGATTTCTATTTATTTTATCTAATTAAGGCATTTACCAAGTTGGTTATTATTCTCCAATTAAATTCCATAATTATTATTTTGTATATTATTTGTGTTTAACCATTGTAAAATTGAGTGCTTTAGCTAATAGTTTTCCAGGATTATTCATTTTTAAATAAGGTAAAACTATACTCATTTAATTTTATCCCTATGAATAATAATAGTAGAATTATTGGATATGTGGAGTTGGAGCCATTATTTCTAAAAATAGAAATGCTTATTCCAATTACTCTGGTCTAGATATTTTCAATTCTGGTAAAGCTGTTTCATCATATTAACATAATAAATCAAATAAATCTATGTTTTTTTAGATACATTTTCTATGTATCTCTTAATCATAAAAACTTAGATCATATTCTTGAGGAATTATTGATTATTAATTATCTCGTTATGCATCATTGTTTTCTTTCCATTTATCAGGACCATATTTAGGAGGTAACATTTACTGATCCTATCCTTATGACCATCTTTAATCTATTTTATTGTTATTTTACACCCATTGTTATTTTACATCCATATCACCTTAATTATTTTATGAATTATAATTAGTGTTTTAAGGAGGATAGACAATAGATTAAGATATATTTGAAGGATTAAAAGAACCTAACATTGGATTAGCAATTTCATTTTAATTCTTAAATTGCATTGATTATTATTGATTATTATATGGTTATTACTAATATCCTTAATTGCCATAAGATTATTGATATTGATTAGATTATTAATATTAATTTTGCTATTAAAATTGGTTAGGTTATTAATATTAATTTTGCTATTAATATTGGTTAGGTTACTAATATTAATTTTGCTATTATTAATATTAATTAGGTTAATATTGATTGGGTTATTAATTAGGTTATTAATATGGATTTGGCTATGAATATTAATTAGATTATTATTAATAATGTCCAGGTGGATAAGGTTATTATTAAGGAGGTTATTCATACTATGGAGTACTTCTACCCTATTATTGTTTAAATGATAATATAAATCTAAATTAATCTAATTTTTCTGTCTATTCCTTATCAAAATACCTAAAAAACTAATCTAATTCTATTATCTTGTATTTCTTATAATAGTTCATATACGTAATAAATTATCTGAAATCTATGGATTGACTACCTTAAGATATTATATAAAATAATTCTGAAATCTACTATTCAAATTAAGGATTACGACCATTTAACATTACTAATTTCATATCTTCTATTTATTGCTTTGTTAATTCATTCCTTTTATATACTTAATATTCAAATTCAGTAAAATTTATTTTTCCATCCTTATCCATATCAAATATTTCAAACAATTACCTTTAAACATCTTACGTACTTGAATATCCAATAGTTCTTTATAACAGATCAGTAAATTCCTCATTAGAAATATAATAATCTTTATCTCTATCAGTTTGTCTAAACATATGAAGCAAAGTACATAATTCTTTTTCCATATATTAAGAAAAAGAAACAACAATCTTATCAATCTCTTAATTGGTATTGATTATACTAATCTTTTTACTTTCTTTATAATTAGTCAATCCTTTATTAATCAGATTATTAAGTTCATAATAATCAATATAATCTTATGCATCTTACTCAAGTATTGTCAATAATAAATCCCAATCATTATCTAAAATTTAGATTGATTTATCAGCAATTCCTAATTTTAAACCTTTAAGTTTCACTTTTCCTTTCTTATTAAGATCAAATTCTTAAGCTATATCAATTACACTTATATATTTTTATTATAATTGCTCTCTTAATTTAGTTAAGATAGCATCAATTTTATTCTAAGGTGTATCTATATGATGTTACTTAGCTTTTGAACAAAGCATCTTATAATTAATTTAATTATCTTAAAATGAACCTAATTAATCAGCAATTCCCTTCATTTCAAGTTTTTATAGAGATGGACCATTATTCTTTTTAAATACTGAAAGTATGCTTTCAACATCTAATTTATTAGTGTAATTTTCATCCATACCCTCAAAATCTGATAATAAGGTTGTTGATTGCTTAATAAATTTGATAACTTCATTAAACATTCCTCCTTATTATGGTTGGTTATCTTTAGATAATACTTTAGGTTTTTCTTTAGCACAAACTTTTGATTTGAATTCACTTATACTTATAGAACCATCACCATTTGCATCAAGTAATAAGAATAAATTATCTATTTATTTATTTTTAATAGAAGGATCAATATCATGGATTAATTTATTAAATTCTTATCTATCTAATACATCATTTCCATTTTAATCATAATTATAAAATAATTATGCTGTAGCATTTTTACCTGCTTAAATAGTTTAATTTAAACTCAATAATAATTATTCAGCTTCTAAACAATCATCTATAAGTATTTATAATTTATCATATTATAAATATTTTTAATCATCTGGTGATTATAAATATTATGCTAAACTTCTGAATTCTACATAATCAAATCCAAATTGATTGATAATATCTTAAAATGCATTAATTAATATTTCTCCTCTACCTCTTTTATCAAATATTTGTAAAGTTTAATTATTTTCATTCAAAGCATCTTTTAATCTAAATACAGATTTCATAATCTATGGTGTTAATACTTTTGAATCAACTGCACCAGTTCTTCTAAATTATTATTATGGTTCTTAATATTATTATTATTATTTTGATTAATATTATTATTAATTTTATCTTGGATTTTCATCATTTTTATTAATTATTTTCTATCTAAATTCATTCAAATTAATTGTATTATCATTATTAGTATCAAATTTATGAAATAATGTTTCTATTATCTTCTAATCTACATCACCTATTAATTATTATAGAAATTCTTAAAATTCCCTCATTTCTAACTTTGTATTTCTATTAGCATCATATTTCCTAAATAATTATTCTGGTTTGCTTTATTCATATGCTAATTCAGTATTAAGATCTTATAGTAATTTATTAGCAGCCTCATCTAATTTCAAACCTTATCTCAATTTAATTAATGATATGTTTTATTGATCTTATTAAATACAAATTAAAAAATCTTTAAAGTTTTCATCATCTTAATCAATCAAAAATTATTTAATTAAATAATCTTGCAAATGTTTTTTCTTTAATGATCCATCACCTAAAGAATCTAAATCTTCAATATCAGAATATGTAATTTTCTTTTTTTTCATCATTTTATTAAGTTATTCAAAAAATATTACTGCATTATGTTAACTATATCTAATTTAATCATTTCTTTTATCTTTATAGTATAGAATAGCTTCTATTAATAAATCAATATCAACATATGTTCTATCATTTGGTACCAAAAGATTATTAATTAATTCCTCCTATTCAACCTCAAAATCTGCTTTATGAACTAATAATTAACGTAATTTATCTTTAAATTATTAAATAGACATTCTTTAATATGTACATTTAAAATATTATCTAGCAGTTTCATCTCTCTATTATAATTCTTTTGAAATAAATTGTAATAATTTTTTTTAAGAATCAAATGATTTAGGATTAAAATTTATGGATTTCTATAATGATAATTCTGGATCATCAAAATTGCTCTTTCTTTCTTAAATACTATCACCTCCATCAGCTTCTTATAATTATTTCCAATTTTAAACCTACAATTCTCTTGCCTTTTATACAATAGCTTATATAAAACGAGGATATTCAATTTCATCTTTAACTCCAAAACAGTTTAACAAAAATTAAAAATCTGTTTAACGAAGATGATCATTTGTTTATTTTAATGTATTATAAAATTAACTTTAAGATATAATAGTACTACTTTTTGTACTAGATCTAATTAATTATGGTAATGTCATTTATACACTAAGTAAACCATTAACAAGTTAAGTCATTATATCTTTTAAATCTTCATTAACATTAATTTCAAAAAACATTCTTACATTTTCAAATTAAATCATTTTTTTATTTTCTGGATCTAGATTAATAAATAATTATTTAAGAATTTCAGGTGTAGGTTAATGTTTAATTTCATTTAAAAATTTGTAAATATCATCATATCCAAAATAACCCTTTGATTTGCTATCATAATGTCTGAAAAATGAAATAAATACATTATATATATCCCTTATAGCTTTATACATCTTTTTTTTTAATTCATCTATTCCTAATTATTATTAATTTGTTTATTTAATATCATCACAAAAGCTTTCATAATAAATTACATTTTTTTTATTTGGATCATACTTTAATTTTAAAAGAGGTATATCCTCAGGATTTAAATTTATTCCTTCCTATCTAATTATACTATCAAATTTATCAAAAGGTAATTATCCCAATTATTCTTAATCACTTGCTTTTAGAATTTCGATCAAATTTATATTACTTTCTTCTAAATATGTATTAATATCTTTTAACATATCAAATAATTCCTAATCTTATGTCTAAGTCAATTCTCCTAATTTTACTACTTCTTTCTATCTTTGAATCCATTATGTTAAGTCAATTTCATCAGTCTTTTATATATCATACATTTATAATAAAACTGCTTTTTCCTTAAAACTAACAGATATCTTCATATCTTCTAAGGCATCCCAAAAATTTGTAGCTTTTATTTTTCTACTAACTGGTTACAATTAATATTTTGATAAATATTAAACAACTGTTTATTATTTCTATTAAGTTACTCTTTATTTTAATTCATCTAATAATAATTCTGGATTAGGTTAAAGTAAATTCTCATCATGTTGTATTACATTATCACTAAAGAAATCTTAGATTATGTCTTCTAATTCATGAATTGGAGATCTTGTAGAAGGATTTCTTTCCAACATTCTTTCTATCAAATTATAGAAATGTTATCCATACAACTTTTTAATTGTTTCTTTAATTTCAATTGCTTTTGCAGAATCTTAAGTATTAGAATCTCTAAATATAATTAATTCTTCAATATCTTTTAATGAAGCCATCTAAAGAAAACTTAAACCCAATTACCAAATATCAATTTTGATTGGATCTCCTCCCAATAAATCTACTACTGAACTTCCAGAAACAAATCTTTAACTTTAATTCTTTTTCAATGCAGCCAATGATTCAGGTGGTAAATATAATTCTAAATTTTCATTAGAAAAAATAAAAAAGTCTGTTATTACACATTCATTCTCTTCATCTTCAAATAAATTTGATGGTTTAATTCTACCATGAAAATATCTCTGATTATCACTTTTCTTAGATTTATGAATTTTATCAACCCAATTTGTAAATTCATTTACATAATTTTACATTTTATTCATTGGAATGTATAATCCTTATCTCTTATGTTATTTGATTAAATCTGCCATTGAAAATTTAAATTTCTTATAAATAAAACACAAAGCCTATTTTTCTTCCCAATATCCTTCAGGAATATAAAGACCTGCTTTTGACAATCGAATTTTCATTTAATCCATTTCATCTACTAATTCTTTTGTTGTTTTCTTTTAAGGAATTACTAATTTGCATATAAATTATTCAGCTCCTTTCTTTTATAGTGATGTCTTATTATTAATTGCATAAATGAGTTGAAAGTCTGTTTATTGGAATTTTTTCAATTGTGACATAATTAATATATGAAAAAATTTTGGAATTTCATATGTTGTGCATTAGATTCAGATGAAGAATAAATGGGTGAAGAAAAATAAATAACAATAAAAAGAGATGAAAAAACAACTTTAGAGCTTTATGGTAATTTTGAAACATAAAATTACATGCTGGTTAGAATGACTTAAAAGAATTTTTTTGTTGATTTTTCTATGAGAAAATCAAAATTAGTAGAAAAGAATCCCTTATCAGTGTTTATATCATATATTGATAATGATGTTAAGTATGAATAAGATGAATCAAGTTATTTAATACCAGAAAAAGTATTATAATATATAGGTAGAAGAATGAGAGAAGTCAAACCTTCTTTTATAGTTGATGGTCTATCTAGAAGTGGTATTAATGCAATATAGTTCTCTTCTGAAACTAATACATTTGTTTTGGGAAATAACTTTTCAATGTAATACATTAAAAATGCTAATCATAATACAACAATTTGTAATTTTAATATAAGATGTGAATTTCTTTTGGCAAATTTACCTAAATTACCTATTATTTAAAATGATGTCTTTTTTATCTAACCTGATTATTAGATTATTGATGAAAAATTAACAATAAATAATATATTTCCTTCAATTCCAGATATTTTAGATTATTTTTTAGTATGGAGTAAGAATTTAATTATTGTTTTACCAATATAAATTGATCTTTAAATAATTTGTGAAGTTTTTTGTTAAAAATTAAAAGAGAAAAATTTAGATCATTTAATTTTTGAAATCTAAAAAATTCAAATAGATGGTGAATTATATTATTACATTATTTATTTTGGAGAAATAGCTGCTATACAAACATAAGATGAATATATGTTAATGACAGAAATGACATTAGAAGATTCTAATTAATAAAATTTATTTGATTCCACATATATGTTACTTAAAAATATTGGATATACTACAAATCCTAGAGAAATCATGAATATCTTAATTTATTCTAAATAAATGTCATAATTTGAAACTACCTTACAAATTCTAATTAATCAAGTAATTAAACTTAAATTTTATATTTTATTAGTTACTTTTGAAGGGATTATCAAATGAATAAACTATCAAATAATTGTTTGGTGATGCTGATGTTTTATTATCTTCAACACCAAAATATAATCAAATCCAAATTTAAGAAAATACATTTGGATAAGATTCTTAAATTAAATAATGTTATGATTAGTAATAAAAATAAAAAAATAAAAAAGCCAAGAAATCTCAATTTATATCCTTTAATATACCAAGTGAATGATGTATATAAATATATATATTTATTTTATTCATTGCTTAAATCATTGTAATAAATAATATATATATATAAATTAAGATGAACTATCATCGATATCCTTCTCAAAATCATCATTATAAAACCCACAAAAAATCTAATTTTTATTTCCAATCGTAATAAATTATCTTAATTCAATTAGACTCAAAACTGATACATAAATATAAAACAACCAAAATGAGATTTTAACAAATCTTAGAAAGATTATTAAATAGAATGAAAGATTATTATCAGAAAATAGTGAAAGTTATCCTATTGTGAAAAAAAAAGCTAAATCCTCCAAAAACAACTGTGAATGCTCCATCTATTGAAGGTTTAAAAATAATTAATAAACTAAACAATAACACTATTTATTTACTAATAATGTGAAGATCTCTAAAATATAAACTTAAGATTTTTCATTTATTTCAAGATTTCTTCATAATTTTTTTTCAATTATTTTTAAATTTCTTAACTAATACTGAAAATGCACATTTAAGCAGATTCAAATAAGTTGAAAAATTACTCTAATATCAATCAAGATTAGATGTACATAAATAATAATGATAAAAATTTGAATTAATATGAATGATCTTATACGTTTATAACAACTTGATTAATATACTAATCAATTATATATATAAAAATTAATAAAAATTTATATGAAATATATATAATGATAGAGTGGATTTAAAGTAGTTTAAAAATTATTATATTTTAAGATTTATAAATGTAATATGTAACAATATCAATAATCTCATAAATTTCTCTCTTTTAATCTTACAATTTATTAAAATCCTTAATATTTATATATATTTGAATTAATTTTGCTGTTGTTAAAATTCTTTACTTTAATTTAATTTTTAAGAAAATATTTTGATAATTTATCTACTTAGATATAAAGACTATTATCTAGAATCAGTATATTAAGATATTTAAAAGTATAAATAAATTTTATATATACAAATATAATATAAATTAATTTTCAATTGTTTTAAATAAAATAAATGGAATGATAATTTAGTATCAAAACATTTATTCTAAAAACTATTTCTATAATTTTTAATTAAATATAATTTTTTTACTTCTTATATTCTAAGGTAAAAGACTGTTTGTATTTAATCAAAAATGATATAAATTATTTATTTATGTAAATGAAAATTTTATTATCAGTAAACTATTTAAATAATTAAGATATTTAAGATTATACAACATTATTTAGATTATAGATGTAAAAATATGAATTTTATTTCTTTTATTTAGAATATATAATTAATATAGCTATTTTATGAACGAGTCTTAAAACAAAATCTCTCGAAATACTTCATCTTCACATTTTAGTCTTCCTAAAATATAGAAAATAACAAACACTCCAAAATATCTTGAAGTTAAAGGCTATAAAAATTATAAGTACAAGAGTTATATGATGGATTTGATGAAATCAGATAAGAAGTTATAAAAATTGTTACCCTTTCATCTTTAAAATTTGACAAAAACACCTAGAAAGAGGTATGAACTAAATGATTCTACGAAATAAGAATTGTTGCATTTTAATAAATTAGATAATATATTTACAGAAGGTGATTTAGAAATTATGAAATAAGCCACAGTTACTTAAGGAGCTATGAATATTTAAGCTATGTATAGGAAAACATTAAAGTCTTATGAATAGGATTCTTAATATACTAGAAGAGCTGATGAAAGTCAATTATGTGATGAAATTACTATGAATAATAGTATAATCAGCAATATTATTGAACATCAAAAATAATTGACTATAAATCCAAGAGTGATTAGATAATCAAAGAAAGAAATATACAAAGAAATGAATACTATCAAAGAGTTCAAGGTTCTAGTTAAAAATACATAATAATATAAAGATATTTATGATATTAAAGAATAAGGAAAAAGTATAATAAAAATAATTAAAAAATAGATCCTTTTATATATCAATTTATTTTAAGGGAATCTTATTTGAGTTTTACTGAATTATCAAAAATAATTTAAGATAGAATTTTATTAGCTTTTGATATAAATCCTCATAATGAATAAGAAAAGGTGTATTACAATTAATTTAGATTATTCAAATAGATTATTATTAGTCAACATTTTAAAGAGCAAACCTTAATTAACTTTTTTATTAAAGTACAAAATTAGAATATATAAGTTCTTTAATCCTCACAATCTACAAGAAATTTCATTATAAGATTTTAGATCAATACTTATTGTGATTTTGTAAAATTCTGAAAATATGGATTAATTGGTAAAATATATATTAAAAAATATACAATTATCTTAATATGTTGAAGATAATCAAATTAAAGATTTATTTGGTATATTTAAGTCTAAAATACTGGATCCTATAAATTTGATCTATTTATTATTAAATAATAATTGATAAACGAATTAATTCATAAATCAAATATTTCTGTTCCATTCCAAATTGGAATTAAATTAGAATTTAATAATATTCTTATATTCTCTTAGTAAATGATTCCCAAATTAAAATTATCTTAACAAGTAATCAATTACAATAATTGATCTTTACTTCTTTTGCTTTTAATTCTTGGATAATATGTTGAGCAGTCTCCAATAACTGTGATATAATAGCCAAAACCATCATTTTATAATATTACTTCTAATCCTTTAGGTAATGTTTAATATTATGATAATTTTTATTAAAATTCATTTGTTTAATAAATCACATTTTCAAATCCATTATTAATGGAAATCCATTATTAATTATCAGTTTTAAAAATAGGCTTGATCTAACATTCTTCTTTCTTAATCATTAAAGGAGTGAAATGTTAATTATAATCTTACTTCTATTTATTACCATTTCCAAAACCATTTATAATTAGATGAAAATTCTTAGTCAATTATATTATCATATTTGTTTGCAGGTATATTCTTTATTCAAATATAGGTTAATCTTCTAAAGTTAATCTAATTAATAATAAATTTTTCATTACTTTGTTGTAACTTAATAACTAATTTCATCATCATAACTCCAAAATGTAACTGTTTAATTTTTATTCTGAAAAGTGAATTTTAATAGATCTGAATCTAAATTTACGTTTTTTATTAATTCATTTAATTATTTAACTTTATCAGTAAACCCTTTTAATTTCATTACTATTTTAAAGAGTTTTGAATTTTCAACTTCTGGAGACACATATGTAATACATCCAACACAATCTTCCTTTTCAAAGTTATCTTTATATTTTGTATAATCAAGTTATAATTGAATTTAAAAAGTAATAAGTTAATGAGAGAAGAATTCTGTACAACATTCACCTAGTAATGTACTAACAGTAATAAATTTTTAATTTAAATAGAATTGAATCAAATTTGGAAATTGCTTCAATAATTCTATAAATTGATCTTATTATTAATAAATTTGAGAAGAAAATAATTTCCATACCTATCTAAGATTAGCTGAATTTTGAGCAAAGTAAAGTAATTTTTTCAATTTCTATAAATATATTTCTTTAATTTTAATATCATCTTCTTATTCATCTAATTCAAACATTTTCTTTATAATTTATTCTTGATATCCATTCAAAAGGGTTTTTATTCTTTCATTCTAACTTTATTCTATATATATAAAGATAGTATTAACAGTATGTAAAACTTCTTATTAAAAATTCATGTTAGATTTATATTAATTATAATAGAATTATCATTTATAATATAAATTTATAAGAGAAAAAATAAATAAAAAATATATGAATTCTAAGTGATATTTTAGATTAAGAGGATACATTAAAATAAAATTAGAGAAAGAAATATTATATATTTAGAAGAGTATTTAATTATGAGTGAATTTAATATTAAAATGCATTAATAATAAATGAATAACTAGTAGAGAGCTAAAATCTATGTGCTTCAAGGTTAATGGGAGGAGTTTTGTATAGGGTATGTGTAAATTGTGCATACAGATGGTGCCACTTTCATAAGGTGCATCTTAGAAACATAAAAAAAGTAATGTTGCAATCTAGTGTAATTTGGTCATTTGAATACAAATAAAGAAGAATGGTGCCTAAATCTAAAGGTGAATCCTGAGACTATATATGAGTTCTAGGGAGACAATATTATTTAATGGTAGGAAAGTGAAATCAATTTAGATATAGCAATTAGTTTTATTGATTCAAGGTATGCATTAGAAATTTGGAATTAATTATAAAAAAGGCATTTTCGTTATGATGATATTGAATCTACATATCCAATTCTACCTTCCCAATAAAATTTAGAAGCAATTTTATCATAGATAAGTGACAGCCCAGAATTAATTATTTAGAAAATAACTAATGATCCTAGAAATTAATTCATGGAAGCAATTAAAAGAATTTTTGAAGATGCTGAAATACAATCAAATTATCATGTTCTTGAATAATTACATTATGTGATTAGAAGTCTAAGTATTTTTGGTAGAGTATTGTAGTTTATATAAAAAATGAAAGTGTGATGAAAAGTTTATTAAGTGAAAAATATTATATGACATTGTTTGGCATAATGGAATGTAATAATTATTCTTTATTTTTTTATAGATCATTCTGAGAATAAAGGACCTTAAAGAGTTTCATATAGAAATTTTTTAAAAAATCAATTAAGATTTCATAAAATAACTGAGTTTGAAGAGGAAACTATAGAGAAAATACACTTTAATTATAGATTATCATATTTGAAAGAAAGTGTTATGGCTTATTATCTATATATTGAAGACCCACTATATAATGAGTTCAATTTTTATATACATGAAAATAATTAAAAAATATTGGAAAGTTTACTAATACATCATAAAGATTAATTTGAAAAATTTTTAGAGAAAATTATGGATGACTTTGAAGTAAAATGTAAATTTATTAATGAATTTTTTTTATAATTCAAACCATTTTTATCAATTAAATAATTGAATGATGCATTTTTGGATTGCATTACTTAAGCTAATCTACTAAAAGTATTATATTAACATTGTTTACTAAAAGTTTAACAATAATTATCATCATAAGTTTGTTTTACAACATTACAAATAACAATAATGATAGCAAATTAAAATTAATAATATTTATAAGATTTCTTAATTAATAATCATGATATATTTTGGTAATGTATGGAAGGTCTATTATTCTGTTAAGTGAATAGTTTAAATAATATAATAATTGATATTGTTGAAATTATTTGTTCAAATCCTACAGTATAAAAATAATGCATAGAATGGTTAAGAAGATGTTTATTATAGCCTTTAAATTTCTCTGCTGCACTTGTATTATAAGAATTAGTATAGTGGATATGCTAGTAATAAAAGTCAATAACATAAGATCTTGTTGTACTTTCAAATTATATTCTTAATATTTTAATCTAATAATCAAAGTAATAGATTAAAGACAAATTTTTATTAATGTCAGGCTTAAAACATTTTAAGTATATTAGTACTACAACTATATCTGAAATTTTGAAGCCATATTGTAATTCCTTAGTGTTATTGACTGTGAGTAAAAGAATGGATGGAATTTTAGAAGGATAAATAAGAGACATATTGAAGTTTATTAAACTTAAAAATAATCTAAGTTAACATTTAGTAAGAAATCAAATTAATTTTTTTAGATCTTGATTGTAAAAACTTTAAATTTTTAAAATCATCATCTTTTTGTGCGACTATTAGATCAAAATGATTAAATTGTTGATGGAAAGTTAATAATAGATTATTCAAGAGATTATGAAGATTCAGAAGAACATTAAGAAAAATAAGTAGTTTTGGAGAAGGATGATATTAAATTAGATTTTAGTAAGATAATCAGGAGAAGGAACGAAGAGGAGGAGGAAGATGATGAGACACATATGAGGGATTAAAAACCAAAAGGGATCATTTTTGGGGAGAGTTGTTTTAAAAGAATAAAACCTGATGATGATTGATTTTATTTATATACTAAATGTTGCCCCAAACATAATAAAACCTTATTCCAAAGAAGAAAATTGAACATTATACATATTTAATGCATGAGTAAATTGGACGTGGATACAGTTCTAAGGTGTATAAGGGGAAAGATGAGAATAATGGAGAAGTTGTTGCTGTAAAAGTAATTGATGTGAAAGCAATCAGTAATGAGATAGAGAGATAGTTGATTAATTAAGAGATCAATGCACTCAAATTAATATAGTCAGTCAATGTTATCAAATTGCATGATTATTATCATACTAATAACAATACATACATAATCACTGAATATTGTAATTAAGGGGATTTAGGCAAACTTATTTAATAATAAGGTATAATACCTGAAGTTGAAGCCTTTAAAATATTGAGACATATAATCAATGGATTTAAAGAGTAAATTAGAAAAGGAGTAATTCATAGAGATATTAAACCAACAAATATCCTAATAAAGAATTCAGTTCCAAAATTAGCTGATTATGGTTTCTCTAAAATGATTAAGGCTCCAAAAGAGAAAGTATTTTATAAGGTTGGTACTCCTATTTATATGAGTCCTGAAAGTTATTTAGAGAATAAATATTCTGAGAAAAGTGATATATGGAGTATTGGCGTTGTCTATTATTAAATGTTATATGGTTAATGTCCGTGGGTAATAAATTCTGAAAGTGAATTTTAAGAATCTGTATCATAATTACATTTTAATCGTAACGTTCCAATATCAGAGGAATCAAAAGATTTTTTAAGGAGAGCCTTGTAGGTGGATGAAAATCAGAGGTTATCTTTGATTGAAATTGATTAACATCCACTTTTTTTACGTAGAAATACTACTGCCTTAAATAAAATGAGAGGAGCTTTAGTTAGTAATTCATTCAATAAATCAATTACTAATATTAATGTTGTTAGAGTGAATTAAACATAGCAATGTACAAGGAGTGGATCTACTTCACATAAGCATTAAAAATCGAATTAAGTAAAGGAAAAAATGGGGACAATAATTTAACACGCATACTAAAGTTTTCATTATGGTATTATGTCCTTTAATTTTGAATATAGAATCTCAAGCAGAAGAAATTATTTGCAATTTTTTGAATTAATGTAAATTTGTCTATCGTACTTGTTAATTGATTGATCATATAAAATATATATAATCTCCAAGATTGAAAGAGAAAATTATGGGATATTTTGGTAGAGAAGTGATGGAAATTATGAATAAAGTATGTGTAATATTTATTACAAGCTAAAAGAAGCATATGAAAAAGGAATTAATAATATTAAAGTGATTAATTTTAATCATTAATTTGTGATTGCTATACTTAATAAACATTAATTTAGAGAATCTTATCTTAAATATAAAGAATTTTATGGAATATCTTAGTAGGGTGATATATCTATTTTAAAAGAGGTTATTAGAGAATTGAATCATTAACTTAGAATAAATGAATAAAATGAAACTGGTATTTTGTTATTGGATTATTTAACCTATTATTATTAGGTTATAAATAGTAATAATATCTAATAATTTTTGGATGGAAAACCTATTAATGAAATTATGCCAAGTCATTATTAAGAAATTAGAGTGAAAATATATAATTTAGATATATGATATATATATTATTATTTGTTTTATTTAATATGCCATCAAACTATTAATATATATATTATATGAAGAATCTATGTATATTTTTATATATATATATTGTTTTATTTAATTAAATAACGAATGAAATTAGACAACGATTTTTTGAAAATCCAAACTTATGCAAATTAACTATTTGACTCACTTCCAGTTATAAAAGAATATAAAAATGATAAAGATCTTATTACTTAACTACAATACTCTTGTGTATGTTATGGTAGAAAATTAGTATCTCTATTTGATAAATATACAATACTCTAAAAGAAATAGTAAGAAGGTTCAAATTAATTACTCATTAATTTGGCATCTCTATTAAATGTTACACCTAATGAATAAACAATTATAGGAACAATAAAATAACAAATTAAAGTTAATGAATAATTGCAATCTAAAATTGAATATCTCAAATAATCCTAATAGGATGTTGTCTATTAAAAAATGTTATAACATGAATAAAAACTAACTCAAGAATTATAAGAAGTAGCAGATCGTTTAATAAAAGAATTAAAGTAATCAAAAGATGATAAATAAATATTATTAGATGAATTATAAATGAAAGAGGATTAATTGAAATAATATCAATAATAATTGTAATAACCTTCCTTATTAAAATCTCCAACTAAATAATAATATAATAGTGCTTAAAAATATTCAAGTGCTACTAAATATTCTAGTTCAAATAAACAACCTCGTTTTCAATAGTAATTGATCAATACACTTTAAGCATTATCTTAATAAACAAAAACTTTTCTCTCACAATATGTAAATTAATAAGAATCTACATATGATTATGAACAATTGATAACTGATGATGCCTAAATGATATCTTTGAATGTTTCCAATATAGTTCGTGATTTAACTTAGATCATATAACACAAAGAAGAAATAGTTGAAAATTTAATCAAAGGACTTGAAATATAACTTGAATAAGTAAGATTGGAATAATAATAGTATGAATAAAAATAAACTGATAATAAATAATTACAATGTCAATTACAATAATTATAAAATATAGTTAAAAAAGCTAAGGATACAAGAACTAAAGAATTAGATAGAGCTTTTAATTCTGAGATACCTGTATTTATAGTTCCTGATGATTTGATGGATTCTGAATTACAATTAACAATTGAAAGACACAATTCAAAGGTTTAATAAAGATTGAATGATTTAGCAGTTTAATTAAAAAAGAAATCAACATAATTTGAATAAATATAATCATAAAGTACTAAAATTAAAATTATTTTGGAAGAAGGTTTAAATAGATTACTAATTATATTAAATGAACTTTAAAATATGGCTGATTCAAATGAGGCATTAAAATTACTTAAATTTTGTAAAAATGAAATTGATTCGATACATGTAAATTTGAATGGTATTGATATTGAATAATAAATGTCTATTGAAATTAAACAATAAAGATAAAATTGGTTATAATAATTGGATCAATTGAAAAAGTTTTATTCAGAATAAACTGAAAAATTAATTTAAGAGAATGAATAACTTAATGAATAATTGGCAAAACTTCAATAATTAACATAAGGATTACATAATGATAATGAGTAATTGATGCGCAAATTAAAATTAGTATAATAAGAATTAATATAATAAAAAGAGGAAAAAGATAATTTAATTTAAGAATTAGAATTGACAATTTCCTAATAAGATTAGAATATTAAATTATTTGAGTAATAAGATAAAAAACAAAGATAAACAATGGAATAAATAGAAAAAGAATTGGATAATAAGAAAAGAGAATATTTAAATTTATAATAATCTAAATAATTGGAATAATAAGATATAATAGAAAAATTAAATGATAAAAATTAAGTATTGGAATTTGAAAATAAAACATATAAATAATAATTGGATGTTATTGAAAAGGATTTTTAGAAACTCAAATCTTAAAGACAAACCTAAGATTAATTAGCTGAATAAGACAAATAGACATTAAAAAAGTAATTGGATGAAAAGAAAAAATAATTATTGTAATTACAAACAGAAAATAAGAAATAACATGAAGATGCTGTTACTTAAATAGAAGAGTTATAGGATGAATTATAACATATATCAAGTTAATTATAATTAAGAGAGACAGAAATTAAATAATTACATAAAACATTAAGTGAATTAGAGGATTTTTCAAGAAAATAAATTGATGTAATCAGAACTTATGAAGATAAGTTAACTGAGGCACATTAAATAAAAAAATAATTGGAAAATAATAATGAAGGAAGTGATTAAATGTTATCACAGTTATAACATAAACATCAATAATTATAACAATAATTTAATTAGTTGAAACATGAAAATGATAAGTAAATTATTGTTTTGAGATTTTAAGGTTATTAAATGATTTAAGTTTACTATAGAAGTAATACACAAAATAAATAGATACTATGGAATAAGATTATAAGGATAAATTGAATAAATAATCAGAAATAAATAAAATTCTAAAGGAAGAAGCTAGAAATTTAAAAGCTTAGTTGGAATTAAAAATTAATTAACTAAGATAATTGGAATAAGATTTGTAAGATAAAAATAATGAATTGGAGTATTTTATTATATATTATATTAGTAAAGCATAAAAAATATGTAAATAATTAAATTTATAAGTAAGTGAATTCAGATAGAAAATTGAATATTTTGAAGAATTTAAATAAGAAGTACATGTATTATTATAAAATATTAGAATTTAGAGACTTCAGAATAATATGTAAAACAAATATAATTATTGTAAAATGAAAACTTTTAGTATAGAAAAGAATTGGAGAAATAATAAATGTAAAATTCTTAACGTTAGAAGACTAATAATATATAGGATTAATAAATGAAAGAGGAAATAAATAATCTAAAATAAGAAGTAAGAAAGATGGAATAATTATTAAATTAAGAAAGAATGAATTATGAATAGGAAATTAGAAATTATTAAAATTAGATAGGTGAATATACAAAATTAGATTTATCAATGAGATAAAAATCAGGATAATCTAGTGGAAGTGCTTTTTATGAAAATTTGATAGAAGCAAAAGATTTAGAAATTGCTAGATTGACAAATATTGTGAAATCTTTGACAGATTTAAGAAAATGATTATAATTTGAATAGTTTGAAAAAATGTTAATAATAATTCTAGTTTCATTTAAATAATAAATGATAATCTTTTATATTATTGCACCTGTATTCTCATACCTTATTGATTAACATTATTAACCATTAAATTGGTTTTAATATGGAGATACTACTTGTTATGGAGTAATGTTCGATGCTGGAAGTTCAGGTACAAGAGTTTATGTATATTCTTGGAGTTGCCGAGAAAATAAAACAATGGCTTATATTAATATTACTGA